CAGAGAAATAAGAGGACGACGGCTTAACGGAAGTGTTATCAAGGAAATTGAAGTAGATTCTGAAAGTTCTTGTCGACTGCAGTGTGTGGAGGAAACTTCGTGTCTGTCATACAACTTTGGACCCGGTGAAGACAAAAAGATGTTTAAATGTCAGCTGAGCAACTCTGATCGGTTTACTGGGCTGAACAATTTCATTGAAGATCCTCAAGTTCTTTATAGAGGCATAAAGGTAGGTAATTTACCTCAATTTGCAATTTTTTTTTCCATTCCAAAGAGGACATAATATTTGAATGAAGAAACGACGCAGATGTTTATATAGGGCGTTTGGTAATGGTAAAGAAATGCAATTTGAGAATAACTGTAGAAAATTTCTCATCATCGTCTGATTTTGAAAGACGAAGATTTAAACTTTAACTATTCAGTGGGCCTCTGATTTGATGGCTCAGAAACGAGATCTTGTGCAAGCACTTCCTTCGTCTTCGACATTAAATAAACTATCCTATTCTATTCTATTCTGAAACAAAAAGAAAATCTTTGAATCCACTAAAAAATATCCGTTAGACTAACAAACACATCGTTTTTTTCCTTCGTCGGTTCTTTAAATTTTCGGTAAACACTAAGAATGTACATGTTCTAATTCAAGAGAATTAAAACTGCAATTTAGATTCTCTCGTCTCATTGTGATAACAATGAATGGACAATCCACCTTTTTTTCGACATTAGCTAGAAAGGTTTGCTTCTCTGAATTCTTTTACTGGATATAGCCCGATTCCATTATTCCTGTATTTTTGTCCACAGAGAGCTCCCGAAAATTTGAGAACATATAAGAACTAGGTTCAATTAGACTGCACCTTGTTCAGAACGTTCTCGTGATTTATATACGTCGGTAGGGTCTGAAAGCTTTAATTTAGTCACAGCAGGCTAGTTTGGACTTAAAGAAATGTCAAAGAAAATATAATAAAGTTCACACGGCAACCAGGTGGACAATCAGACATAGTTTGATGCTACTCTGGTATGCAGATTTAATGAATGTAACCGAAGAAATTACAATTCATAGACCCAACGTTTCGACACTCCCGTCTAGTGCCTTCATCAGGGGTGATCTAAACGCTGCAACAAGAGGTCCTTTTATATGATCACTAATTAGCGGCCTTTTTTTTCTGACAAGGTGTAAATAGGCGTCAGGAAGCAAGCCGCCATCGTCACGATTTAAAGGAGCGTGGGCGGAGTTAATATGCCAAGCCTCCAAACAAAGGCGCTGGTGGTAACGCCGATTAGTGGTGATAATTTTAGAATTATCCCACCCAATTGTATGGCTAATTAGGCACGTATGCTCCGATAAAGCTGAATTTTCCTTTTTTGCAAAGGAAAACCGCTGTTTGGTGCTCTTTTAACCGTGTACCAAACTGACGTTTGGTCTGTCCGATGTATT